AGCGACTACGGCTGGTGCGTGCAGCCAAGGTGAACCTAGCTCCTGGAGGAGGCAGTTCAATGTAAAAAAAGTTGCCGAAAAGTATTTTGCTGCGCAAATACGCATACATCTAATTTTCCTAAAGCGTTAGTGAATAGAAGCCATTTTTCACCGTTATTCGCTAAATGAAAAAAAAATTGTATTCACATATACAGGCGGATCCGAGCAGGGAATATTTTACACTGAAGGGTGGAAATAAGTTGCTTGTGGGCATAATCTAAAAATGAGGACCAGAGTGTGTATCTTTAAGAACTGAGGGTTTATTATCACATTAGACTTCACACGTTATCCGGCAGAAAACTGAGCTAATTTCTCAAAGTTCTGTTCTGTTCTCCCGAAAACGTGATACTGAGGAAGAGCAAAAACAAGAGAAATAGCAGGTGGATTTCAGCTCGTGGTACATCTAACCTGGGTCCTCTGGTGGCCAACCAATCTACTTTTGAGTGCACTGCTGCTAGAGGGTACTCGTACTTTCTATTTGCTGCCAGTTGGAAAAGCGGCCAACAATCTCATGCTTTGTCAAACTAACCGAGCATACAAGTTGAATTATGAAATTCTACACAATTCAATAGGAACTGGTTTAAATGGGATGCCGAGGAGACCGAAAATGATGGGTTTGATTCGATCAAGTGGGTTATGGTAGTTAAGTCCAGATGGGCTTACCATACAAGTACAAAAACAAATCCATCGCAAGTGAAGATTGTTTTGCACTCCTGGCCGATTGGGTTGAATGCCGTCATTCGAGAGGTAAATGTGATAACTAGGTTAATTAATAAGACTGTGGTTTACACTGTTTTTGTAGAAGACTATGCGCCCGAATGACCGAAATCTCCTCGAGTTCAGATCGGATGAGTGAAAATGCTCATCTCAAGTCAGACGCCCTGTCCCCAACTGTAAATTCATCACGGGTTTAGTGTGCCTTTTAGTATGCAGATGATTCCTCGCTGCATTTGTTAATAATGTGATTGTGGCTTAGATTCAACTGGCCTCGTACGCCGAGATGCTGTAGGCTACCAACAGGCTGAAAATCAACACAATTGGGTTCAAACCTGCAAGTCCAAGACTGGCGGCGTTTCCCATTTGCTCACGTCGAT